GAGAGAGAGAGAATGGGAGAATGTGATCATGAGAGGGAGCGAGGGAGAGGGAGAATGAGAAAGAGAGAATGAGAAAGAGAAAATGAGAATGTGATAGAGAGAGAGAGAGAATGACAGCATGAGAGAGAAGGAGAAAGAAGGAGAAGGAGAAGGAGAGAATGAGAGAGACAATGAGAGAGAGAGAGAATGAGAGAATGTGATCATGAGAGGGAGCGAGGGAGGGGGAGAATGAGAAAGAGAGAATGAGAAAGAGAGCATGGGAGAGAAGGAGAAGGTAATAGAGAGAAGGAGAGAGCGAAGGAGAGAAGGAGAAGGAGAACAAGAGAGAGAGAGAATGAGAGAGAGAGAGAAAATGGGAGCATGAGAGAGAGCATGAGACGGGGAGAGAATGAGGGAGAGAGAAAAAGAGAGAGAAAGAATGAGAAAGAGAGGAATGAGAGGGGTGTATGTGGCTAGGAATTGATTTGACTTTGTATATTGAATGGTGTGAAAGTGTAAAGAAATGGAGGTTGTGACTCTAAAACAGAGCCCTGCCCCCTTTTTAAAATGTGCTGCACGCAGAACGCATGCAAAAAAGACACAACGATTTCATTGTGCGCCTGCCACACACACACACACACACACACACCGGTTTGTTCATTCAGGCAGTCCTCGACTTACGACCACAAACGAGCCCAAGATTGATGTTGTTGCTAAGTGAGAAATGTGTGAAGTGAGCTGTGCCCCGTTTTACGACCTTCCTTGCCACCGTCGTTAAGTGAATCACTGCAAAGTGCTAAGCTATTAACATGGTTGTTAAGCGAATCCGGCTTCCTTCGATTTTGCTTGTCGGAAGGTCGCAGAACGGGGGACGCGGCGACTGGCGTAGGTGTGAAAGTGGCTCCCGAGTCGCTTTTTTTTTTTCCCCAGTGCCGTGGTAACTTGGAACGGTCACTAAACGAAACTGTTGTAAGGTGAGAGGACTGCTGGAACATTCCAGTTGCTAAGCACGCGCATTTTGATCCCGTGGTCATAGGGGTCAATCAGGATAGAGATGGAAAGGGACCTTGGTCATCTAGTCCAGCCCCCTGCTCACGCAGGAGGCCCTAGACCATTTCAATCAATCAATCAATCAATCAATCAGAAAAGATCTGGAAGGGACCTTGGAGGTCATCTACTCCAGTCCCCTGCTCAAGCAGGAGGCCCTAGACCATTTCAATCAATCAGAAAAGACCCGGAAGGGACCTTGGAGGTCATCTAGTCCAGCTCCCTGCTCAAGCAGCAGAGACCCTCTAACATTTCAGACAAGTGGTTGTCCAGCCTCTTCTTAAAACCCTCCAGGGATCAGCCCAACAGCAAAAAGGTAGATTGCTCTTGGACAAGGGTCTTTGAAGACCCCAAAACAGCAAGCAGGCCCAGTATGGGAGATACAGGCCGCCCTCAACTTACGGCCCCAACGGAGCCCCAAATTTAGGTTGCTAAGTGAGAAATCCGTGAAGTGGGTTTTGCTCCGTTTTACGACTTTCCCTGCTTGTATGATTGCTGCTGTTGTTTGGATGCTGCAACGGTCGTAAGCACGAGGACCCCTTGCGAGCCACTTTTCTTTCACCCTGCTGTTGTAACGAAAGTCATTAAACGAACGGTTGTAAGTTGAGGACCATGTAGTTTGGCTCCTGATCTCTGTTCTGACCAAGGCTTAGGGAGACACTAACAGGCACACTTTTTCCTTGATTTCAACGGCTGTGAATTTTAATCATTCACAGGCCGTAATGAGTCTCAAACAGTTTGTAAATAGTCCAACGGAAGTTCTGCCAAAGTCCTTCGAGATAAGGCTGATCAGCACCCACCTTTATCTCCCTTGAAATGCTGCCAGCGACTCAATTGCCAATTAGTTATACGAGACCAAACGGAGCACAAAGTCAACACGGAGCTTCAGGTTCCAAACCGACCAGTACGAACGACGTTGCTTCCTGCAAAGGGCTCCTGTCCCTTTGCTCTTCCTTTATGTCTTACGGGAGGGGCCAATCATCTCCAAGCTTTATTCCCGAGTCGGCCCTTTTGTCCTAACTGTGCTTGCCTTCTGGCAGCTCTGTGCATGTGCGCGCTGGGAACAGGCTCCCTCTACTCCTCTGCCTCGCTGATGTCAGATTCTGGAGGCTCCGGAGTCAGCACATGACTCCCAAATGGCCCTGGCCCCATTGGATGCAGATCCCTCGTCTGAGACCTTCCCAGAATCCAGGACTGGCCCATGTTCCTCCACACCGTCTGCTGGCTCAAACGGGCCGCTGGCGGACCACAACTCTCTCCTTCTCGTGTTGCAGTGTTGCAGGAGGCGGTCAGCACTCAAGATTTGGAGCTCGTTCAACTGGCGCTGCGGTATCGGGACTACCAGAGAGCCATCAAACGCTTGGCCGGAATCCCCGCCCTGTTAGAAAAACTACGGAAGGTCAGTCCTTTGCTGAGTTTGTAAACCTGTTGAAAAACCCCCTCTGATGGCTCAGAGACCTACAGGTATAGTCCTCGACGTACGACCACAACATTGACGTTCCTAAGGGAACCATTGGGTTAAGTGACTTTTTTGGGGGGTTGGTGCTGCAATTTAACTACTTTCCTTGCCACGGTTAAGCAAATCGCTGCGTTTGTTAAGTGAGTCACCTCGTTGTTAAGTGAATCTGGCTCCCCCATTGATTTGTCAGAACGGTGGCCCAAGGGGATCACACCGGGATCACATCATGTTACCGTCATAAATACGAATCCGTTGCCAAGGGCCTGGATTTTGATCATGAGGCCATGGGTCATAAGTAAGAAAAACGGTGCCTTTTTTTCAGTTGCCGTTGTAACTTTGAACGGTCACTAAATGAAGTGTTGTAAGATGAGGACTACTTGTGGGTTTTTTTATATATATATAAAATAAAAAGGTAAAGGTTTCCTTATCCGTTGTGTCGAGAGGATGGCGCTGATCTCTGTGTCTTGGTGCCGGCGTTGTGCAAATATATTTTCTGTGGTCATTTGGCCAGCAAAAGCACACCGAACGCTGTTACTTTCCCATCGAAGTGGTACCTATTTATCTACTTGCATTTACATGCTTTTGAAGAGTGACGCGGTGGCCTAGAGTAGAAGCTCTCGCCTCACAATCAGGAGGCTTCTGAGTTCGATCCTCGCCAGAGGCAGATATTTCTCTCTTTGGGCACAATGAGAAATATAGCTGCTGGATATAACTCTGCATCGGCGGCAGGAAAGGCATCCGGCCAGTAAAAGACTCTGCTAGCTCCATTTGGTTGCCCAGACTCCGCCCTGCAAGGGATGATGGGGTCCGTTAAAAGCAGATAATAATGTGATGACCCAAAGGGGCGTGACACAAAAAGAACAAAGTTACGAAAGTAGAATAAATACCCTTTAATGCCTCCAACTTGGCCCCCAATGTCCAGTTATCCTCGGCTGGAGATCAAACTCTTCCCTACGAAGGGCAGAAATGCAGTCTGAACCCAAAGTAAAGTTAATTAGAAATAAAAAACAACACAAACCTCGCTGAAGTCATTAACACGACAGGCCAGGATGATAAATTGCAGACTTTCAAAAGATAACGCAGCACCCACAGTTGGGAGGACGCCAAAACCCAGGTAAACCTCGACAAAGATAATGCACGCTTTGCTTCCAAGCAAGGAGCTGTGTGCAAATGCCCCACTTATAACCTGTTCTCCCAGCTGCAGCTACTGAAGGGAATCGGGGCCCTTTCCTGCCCCGTAAACCGTGTTGCTCCCTTCTTCGTTCCTCCCTGCGGATGAAGAGAGGGGGTGGGCCTCGGTCTTCCTCTGAATGCCCAGCTAGACAGCTTTTGAACTTTTTGAAGCTTTTGAGGTGGGCAGGAGCTGCAGCAAGGAACGGGAACTTACCCTGTCTCACGGTGTTCGGGTCTCGAACGCAGGCTATCAGATTTCCACCTGACAAGCTCGGTGTTTTTAACTGCTGAGCCCTGTTTTATATGTACCATGTAACACTTCGTAGCATCCCCTCTTATTCTTAGTATGATCTCGTTAGTTGTCAAATTCAGTACCTGTGTACTGGATTATAATCTGGCATAAAATTACATTATAATGGAGTGGTGTGATGGCTGAGAGGTGGAGCTTTCGCCCCACAGTCAGGAGGCTGCGAGTTCGATCCAGATATTTCTCTCCCTGGGCACAATGAGAATAAGATCTGCTGAACAAAACTCCACATTGACGACAGGAAGAGCATCCGGTATTGTAATCTCTAAAACTTTTAATTTAGTTCATTAGGTTCCATTCTATGGATGTTTTAGCTCAATTGCAGGCAATCCTCAACTTCCGCTTGCAGATGGGACGGAAATCACGGCCGTTGAGTGAGGTGGTCATTAACCGAGAGGTTTTATGATGTCTGAAATTTTTTTTATTGGCTGTAAACTTCAACGGAACGCAAGATTGTCCAATCTTGGCGACTTTAAAACTTGTGGACTCCGATTCCCAGAATTCCCCAGCCAGCTAGGGAATTCTCAGAGTTGAAGTCCACACATCTTAAAGTCACAAAGACAACACATCCTTTCTAGGCTGTTTTCACTTTAAACGGTCATTAAACCACCAATCTTAAATCAGGGATTATTTTAGTAATATGACTTCATTTATTTTACAGTGGCCTTTTTAATGGCACCATGTAGGTTTGGCATTTGCCAGTTGTATTTGAGACACAACGGAATATAAGCTCTTTTTTATAACCTTAATGTTTCTTGCTGTCAATTTATATATATATATAAATTTTATATATAATATATATAAAAGCGAAATTACCACTCATGCATCATCACAAAATCTCCAGAACCGTAAAGCCCACAAACTCAAAATTTGGTTCCTCTTGGCTTCTAGGGGTTCCCTAAGAAAGGATTTTTGGAAATGACCCTCAGAGCATCTAGAGTATTTCCTATATTATTATTATTATTATTACTATTATTATTACTATTATTATTATTATTATTATTATTATTATTATTAACACACTCTGATGCTAAGAAGTTCTACTCCCCCTCCCCACCTGAAAAGAAATCTGCTCCGAATGCAAAACACAAGCAGAGGAGTTTCAGTTTTACAGCACCAAGCAAGCTTTAGTACGGAACAGTTGAGCTAAGCCATGCCCAGGCTCCTTGCTGTCTCCTCCTTGCTCACACAGCAAATGCGGTTTCAGTTTCCAAACAGTCCTCACCTCTCCCACACACTGACAGGACGCTAGCCAGATGAATACCGATGGATGCTGGTAGGCAGAGGAAGAATTATTATTTCCCCCTTATTTTCCTCTCCAGAAACTAACCCCCACCACACAGTTTCGTAGCAAAGCAAGAGTATCGAGCTAGTAATTAATAAAAACTCCACAGAAGGTTCGATTTATACCTTTGATAATTGCATTTTCTTCCCTTCCCTAACCACTCAGCAAAGAGCATGTGTCTTGAAGGGCTTATACAGCTAGTCCTCGACTTATGACCACAATTGAGCTCAAAATGGATGTCACTAAGTGAACCACGAGTGAGTTTTGCTCCATTTTACATCCTTTCTTGCCACTGTTGTTAAGTGAATCATGCAGTGGTTAAATCAGTTAAATAGTTGTTAATTAAATCTGGCTTCCCCACTGACTTGTCAGAAAGTCAATGGCAACCGTCATAAGTACGAGTCAGTTTCCAAGCATCTGAATTTTTATCATGTGACCCTGGGGGCGCTGCAATGATCATAAGTGTGAGTCACGGTCATAAGTCACTTTTTGGTGATTTTGAACAGTCACTAAAAATGTCAAGGATACTATTAGGGACTGTTTGAAGTTACGACGACACTGAGAAAAGTGACTTACGACCATTTCTCACGTTTACAACCCTTGCCGCATCCCCATGGCCACTTGATCAAAACTAGGACGCTTGGCAACTGACTCACAGTTATGACGGTCGCAGCATCCCGGGGGGGTCACGTGATCCTCTTTGGCGACCTTGTAGCAAGCAAAGTTCACAGGGAAGCCAGACTCACTTAACAACCATGTGACTCACTTAACGACTGCAGTGGTTTGCTTAACAATGGTGGCAATAAAGGTAAAATGGGACAAAACTCACTTAACTGTCCGGCTTTCTCATTTAGCGGCATACATTTTGGGCTCCATTGCGGGTTATAAATCGAGGACTATTCCTGCCATTTGTCAGAAATGGTGTAGGACCATGTTGGCGGATGTATGCCACGCGTGGTGGTAGTGGCACGCAAAGCACTTTCCCAGGGGTGGGATTCTACTGGTTTGCACCTAATCGCTAGAACCGGTTGTTAACCTTCTAAGCAGTTGGGAGAACCGGTTGTTAGAAGAAATTACTGGCCTAATCCTGTAAGGAAGGTAGGAAGGAAACATTCTGGTGTTGCTTACAGAAACTGCCTCTCCGTTAACCCTTATTACATTCTTGGCAGGATTAGACTTCCTGTCTCAGGAACTTCTCTGGAGTTTTTTTCCACTCCTTTGCTGGTCCTTGGCTTGTGTGGAGTGACCATTCAAAGTTACAATGGCACTGAAAAAAGTGACTTATGACCGTTTTTCACACTTACGACTGTTGCAGCATCCCCACAGTCACGAGAGGCCAGGCGAGGAGATGCGTGCCTCGATGTGAGTGATGTTGAGTTGGCCATGCCCAGCCAACAACATGACTACCAAGCCATGCCCACCCAGTCACATGACCACCAAGCCACACCCACCAACTAAGCCACGCCCACAGAACCGGTTGTTAAAAAATTTGAATTCCACCCCTGCATTTTCCCCGGCACACGAGAGGTCACCCGGAAGAGCCCCACTGCGTATGTATGTGCACACCGCCGCACATACAGCTGATTGTCGGGTATCTGGCAGTGGGCGGAGGGGTGGTGCATGGGAGAGGCGTGTGCATGTGCAGGGACATGCTGCACATGAGGGGATCATGCACACATGCACAGATGTGCTGTGTGTGAGGGGGGAATTGTGCATGCATGCACAGACACGCTGCATGCAAGGGGGAATCACGTGCGCATGTGCAAAGATGCGTGGTGAACGAGGAAGGAAGCATGATTGCATGCGCAAAGATGCACAGTGCGTGAGGGTGAATCGTGAGCATGCGCATGCGTGTGGTGCATGAGGGAAAAATTGCACATGTATGCGCAGAGACGCACAGCACCTGAGGGGAAAATTGTGCACACATGTGCCGATGTGCAGCATGCGAGGGGGAATCACGCGTGCATGCACAAAGATGCATGGTGCACGAGGAAGGAATCATGCTTGCATGCGCAAAGGTGCGCAGTGCACAAGGAGGAATTGTGCACATGCGTGCAGTGATTGAGGGAAAAATTGCACGTACATGCCCAGAGACGCACAGCACGTGAGGGAAAAATTGTGCGCACATGCGAAGATGTGTGGCACACAAGGGGGAATTGCGTATGCATGCGCAAAGATGTGTGGCTGACAAGGAAGGAATTGGGTGTGCATGTGCAAAGACATGCAGCGCACAAGGGGGGAATCTCGCGCATGCGCAGATGTGTGGCGTGCGAGGGGGAATTGCGCATGCATGTGCAGAGACTCGCAGTACGCGAGGGGAAAATTGTGTGCGCATGCACAGAGGCATGGTACATGAGCAAGTGCACGCTTGCGCAGGAGGTGTGGGGGGGCCCAGCATGCATTGCCTTCTGGCTGTTGGCACGCGAGCACACGCAAGCGAGCACACATGCAATTATCGGCATGGGAGCCGAAAAAGTTTAGCCATGACTGGTGTAGTGTCTCCTGCTTTGGGGGGGGGGGGGGGTTGGACTAGATGACCTACAAGGTCCCTTCCAATTCTGTTAATCTAATCTAGTCTAATCTAGTCTAATAATAATATTATAATCTAATCTAATAATAATATAATATAATAATAATCTAATCTAGCCTAATCTAGTCTAATGTAATATAATATAATGTAATGTAATATAATATAATATAATTAATATAATACAGTATAATCTAATCTAATCTAATATATAATATAATAATTAATCTAATAATATAATATAATACAATATAATACAGTATAATTTAATCTAATCTAATCTAATAATCTAATCTAATCTAATAATCTAATCTAATAATCTAATCTAATCTAATAATAATCTAATCTAATATATATAATATTATAATTTAATATAATATAATATAATATAATACAATATAATACAGTATAATCTAATCTATAATATAATAATATAATATAATATAATAATATAATAATCTAATCTAGTCTAGTCTAATGTAATATAATATAATACAGTATAATACAATCTAATCTAATCTAATCTAATAATCTAATCTAATAATCTAATCTAATAATAATAATCTAATCTAATCTAATCTAATCTACTAATCATCTAATCTAATCTAATCTATAACCTTTGGCTCCCTGTATTCCATTCTGCCTCCCAACTGTTTCTCTTCTTTTGGCTGCAGGCTCAAGATTTCTACGTAGAGATGAAGTGGGAATTCACCAGTTGGGGTACGTTTGCGTGCCGAAAGAAAGCAACCAAAGCCCCAGTTGGGAATGGGCTGTCAGCTGTCTGACCCCCCGCTCTTAAAAAAACCACGCCCCTTAAGAAAAATATGATGGAGCGCCCACGATTTCTGGTGGCCAGCTGTTCCACTGGTTAATTAGTCCTCACTGTTGTTAGGAAGTTTCTACTTAATTTCCTGTCATTTCCTGAAAGAAGGAACAATTAACCAGTGGAACTATTTGCCTCCAGAAAGTTGTGAATGCTCCAACAAAATCTTTTTTAAAAAAAGATGTTGGATAACCATTTGTCTGAAGTGTGTAGGGTTTCCTGCCTAGGCAGGGGGTTGGACTAGAAGACCTCCAGGGTTCCTTCCAACTCTCTGTTCTTTCTTTCTTTCTTTCTTTCTTTCTTTCTTTCTTTCTTTCTTTCTTCATCTTTTCTTTCTCTTTTTTTCCTTCCATCTTTCCATCTTTTTCTTTCTCTTTCCATCTTTTCTTTCTTTCTCACCTTTTCTTCCCTTCCTACCTTCTTTGTGTTTCTTCTATCTTTGTCTCTTCTTTCTTTCTTATCTCTTTTTCTTTCTTTCTCTTTCTCTTTCCATCTTTTTTCTTCCTTCTTTCCTTCTTTCCTTTCTTTCTTTTTCTTGCCTTTTCTCCCCTTCCTTCCTCCCTTCTTCCTTCTTTCTTTGTCTTCCTCTTTCTTCTTCCTTTCTTTGTCTCTCTTTCTTAACTCTTTCCTTTCTCTTTCCTTCCTTCCATCTTTCCACCCCTTTGTTTTTCTTTCTCTTTCCACCTTTCTCTTTCTTTTCTCTTGCGCTTTTCTCTTCTTTAGCCTCTCCGCTGACGAGCGCGGCAGAGTCTCCGCTGGAGTGCAGAAAGCTGAGCATACGTGTGTGTCGGGTGCCCCCCGTGCGCGCACGATCATTGCGGGAGGCCATTTTCACCCTCCCAGAGGCCCAGGGGAGGCCTCTGGACCCTTGGGAGGGCAAAAACCGCCTCCCCCGAGTTCTGGAAGCCCACCAGAAGCTGGAAACAGGAAGTTCTGGTAGGCCACGTCCACCCTGGCCACGCTCACCCCAGCCGTGGCCACCCAGCAACCGGGCAGCGAACCCTGGCTTCGATCATCTTGGTCACTTTTTGAACTTTCTCCGAAGTCTCAACATCTTTCTTGTAGTATGTACGAATTGCGACCGCACCCACCCCCTCTGCGTTGCTCTGCTTTTTCCGCAGTTCCCTTGGTCTCCAAGATTTGCCCCAGCGACACGTACAAAGTGTGGAAGTGTGGCCAGAACCTGCGGGTGGACACCACGTTGTTGGGCTTCGACCACATGACGTGGCAGCGTGGGAACCACAGCTTCATCTTCCGGGGCCAAGGTAGGTGGAAGTAATTTGGATGCCCCCTCCACTTTGAAATTCACAAC